TCACCACCTAGGATGCTTGGGGTGTGACCAACATCAACCATGTGAGAGGTTTATATCTCACCACCTAGGATGCTTGGGGTGTGACCAACATCAACCATGTGAGAGGTTTATATCTCACCACCTAGGATGCTTGGGGTGTGACCAACATCAACCATGTGAGAGGTTTATATCTCACCACCTAGGATGCTTGGGGTGTGACCAACATCAACCATGTGAGAGGTTTATATCTCACCACCTAGGATGCTTGGGGTGTGACCAACATCAACCATGTGAGAGGTTTATATCTCACCACCTAGGATGCTTGGGGTGTGACCAACATCAACCATGTGAGAGGTTTATATCTCACCACCTAGGATGCTTGGGGTGTGACCAACATCAACCATGTGAGAGGTTTATATCTCACCACCTAGGATGCTTGGGGTGTGACCAACATCAACCATGTGAGAGGTTTATATCTCACCACCTAGGATGCTTGGGGTGTGACCAACATCAACCATGTGAGAGGTTTATATCTCACCACCTAGGATGCTTGGGGTGTGACCAACATCAACCATGTGAGAGGTTTATATCTCACCACCTAGGATGCTTGGGGTGTGACCAACATCAACCATGTGAGAGGTTTATATCTCACCACCTAGGATGCTTGGGGTGTGACCAACATCAACCATGTGAGAGGTTTATATCTCACCACCTAGGATGCTTGGGGTGTGACCAACATCAACCATGTGAGAGGTTTATATCTCACCACCTAGGATGCTTGGGGTGTGACCAACATCAACCATGTGAGAGGTTTATATCTCACCACCTAGGATGCTTGGGGTGTGACCAACATCAACCATGTGAGAGGTTTATATCTCACCACCTAGGATGCTTGGGGTGTGACCAACATCAACCATGTGAGAGGTTTATATCTCACCACCTAGGATGCTTGGGGTGTGACCAACATCAACCATGTGAGAGGTTTATATCTCACCACCTAGGATGCTTGGGGTGTGACCAACATCAACCATGTGAGAGGTTTATATCTCACCACCTAGGATGCTTGGGGTGTGACCAACATCAACCATGTGAGAGGTTTATATCTCACCACCTAGGATGCTTGGGGTGTGACCAACATCAACCATGTGAGAGGTTTATATCTCACCACCTAGGATGCTTGGGGTGTGACCAACATCAACCATGTGAGAGGTTTATATCTCACCACCTAGGATGCTTGGGGTGTGACCAACATCAACCATGTGAGAGGTTTATATCTCACCACCTAGGATGCTTGGGGTGTGACCAACATCAACCATGTGAGAGGTTTATATCTCACCACCTAGGATGCTTGGGGTGTGACCAACATCAACCATGTGAGAGGTTTATATCTCACCACCTAGGATGCTTGGGGTGTGACCAACATCAACCATGTGAGAGGTTTATATCTCACCACCTAGGATGCTTGGGGTGTGACCAACATCAACCATGTGAGAGGTTTATATCTCACCACCTAGGATGCTTGGGGTGTGACCAACATCAACCATGTGAGAGGTTTATATCTCACCACCTAGGATGCTTGGGGTGTGACCAACATCAACCATGTGAGAGGTTTATATCTCACCACCTAGGATGCTTGGGGTGTGACCAACATCAACCATGTGAGAGGTTTATATCTCACCACCTAGGATGCTTGGGGTGTGACCAACATCAACCATGTGAGAGGTTTATATCTCACCACCTAGGATGCTTGGGGTGTGACCAACATCAACCATGTGAGAGGTTTATATCTCACCACCTAGGATGCTTGGGGTGTGACCAACATCAACCATGTGAGAGGTTTATATCTCACCACCTAGGATGCTTGGGGTGTGACCAACATCAACCATGTGAGAGGTTTATATCTCACCACCTAGGATGCTTGGGGTGTGACCAACATCAACCATGTGAGAGGTTTATATCTCACCACCTAGGATGCTTGGGGTGTGACCAACATCAACCATGTGAGAGGTTTATATCTCACCACCTAGGATGCTTGGGGTGTGACCAACATCAACCATGTGAGAGGTTTATATCTCACCACCTAGGATGCTTGGGGTGTGACCAACATCAACCATGTGAGAGGTTTATATCTCACCACCTAGGATGCTTGGGGTGTGACCAACATCAACCATGTGAGAGGTTTATATCTCACCACCTAGGATGCTTGGGGTGTGACCAACATCAACCATGTGAGAGGTTTATATCTCACCACCTAGGATGCTTGGGGTGTGACCAACATCAACCATGTGAGAGGTTTATATCTCACCACCTAGGATGCTTGGGGTGTGACCAACATCAACCATGTGAGAGGTTTATATCTCACCACCTAGGATGCTTGGGGTGTGACCAACATCAACCATGTGAGAGGTTTATATCTCACCACCTAGGATGCTTGGGGTGTGACCAACATCAACCATGTGAGAGGTTTATATCTCACCACCTAGGATGCTTGGGGTGTGACCAACATCAACCATGTGAGAGGTTTATATCTCACCACCTAGGATGCTTGGGGTGTGACCAACATCAACCATGTGAGAGGTTTATATCTCACCACCTAGGATGCTTGGGGTGTGACCAACATCAACCATGTGAGAGGTTTATATCTCACCACCTAGGATGCTTGGGGTGTGACCAACATCAACCATGTGAGAGGTTTATATCTCACCACCTAGGATGCTTGGGGTGTGACCAACATCAACCATGTGAGAGGTTTATATCTCACCACCTAGGATGCTTGGGGTGTGACCAACATCAACCATGTGAGAGGTTTATATCTCACCACCTAGGATGCTTGGGGTGTGACCAACATCAACCATGTGAGAGGTTTATATCTCACCACCTAGGATGCTTGGGGTGTGACCAACATCAACCATGTGAGAGGTTTATATCTCACCACCTAGGATGCTTGGGGTGTGACCAACATCAACCATGTGAGAGGTTTATATCTCACCACCTAGGATGCTTGGGGTGTGACCAACATCAACCATGTGAGAGGTTTATATCTCACCACCTAGGATGCTTGGGGTGTGACCAACATCAACCATGTGAGAGGTTTATATCTCACCACCTAGGATGCTTGGGGTGTGACCAACATCAACCATGTGAGAGGTTTATATCTCACCACCTAGGATGCTTGGGGTGTGACCAACATCAACCATGTGAGAGGTTTATATCTCACCACCTAGGATGCTTGGGGTGTGACCAACATCAACCATGTGAGAGGTTTATATCTCACCACCTAGGATGCTTGGGGTGTGACCAACATCAACCATGTGAGAGGTTTATATCTCACCACCTAGGATGCTTGGGGTGTGACCAACATCAACCATGTGAGAGGTTTATATCTCACCACCTAGGATGCTTGGGGTGTGACCAACATCAACCATGTGAGAGGTTTATATCTCACCACCTAGGATGCTTGGGGTGTGACCAACATCAACCATGTGAGAGGTTTATATCTCACCACCTAGGATGCTTGGGGTGTGACCAACATCAACCATGTGAGAGGTTTATATCTCACCACCTAGGATGCTTGGGGTGTGACCAACATCAACCATGTGAGAGGTTTATATCTCACCACCTAGGATGCTTGGGGTGTGACCAACATCAACCATGTGAGAGGTTTATATCTCACCACCTAGGATGCTTGGGGTGTGACCAACATCAACCATGTGAGAGGTTTATATCTCACCACCTAGGATGCTTGGGGTGTGACCAACATCAACCATGTGAGAGGTTTATATCTCACCACCTAGGATGCTTGGGGTGTGACCAACATCAACCATGTGAGAGGTTTATATCTCACCACCTAGGATGCTTGGGGTGTGACCAACATCAATCATGTGAGAGGTTTATATCTCACCACCTAGGATGCTTGGGGTGTGACCAACATCAATCATGTGAGAGGTTTATATCTCACCACCTAGGATGCTTGGGGTGTGACCAACATCAATCATGTGAGAGGTTTATATCTCACCACCTAGGATGCTTGGGGTGTGACCAACATCAATCATGTGAGAGGTTTATATCTCACCACCTAGGATGCTTGGGGTGTGACCAACATCAATCATGTGAGAGGTTTATATCTCACCACCTAGGATGCTTGGGGTGTGACCAACATCAATCATGTGAGAGGTTTATATCTCACCACCTAGGATGCTTGGGGTGTGACCAACATCAACCATGTGAGGGGTTTATACCTTGCCACCAGGGTGTCCGGGTGTGAACGGCATCCCCCATCCTAAGTTGGGGTTATAGATTGATTGGATCATGCATACACATATGATATCTACTATTAGTATAGAGTTACTTAAACATGTTTTTGTAGGAGTGGAATCGAGTTTCTCTCAGTTGAGGAGTAGTCTCCGATCCCTCATTTTCCTTTGGTGTAAACAGAAAGTTCCAGTTAGACTGGGTGGAGTTTGTAGAGAATCATGTTTTATAAATTCTTTACTTTTTGGTATACTCATTGAGTCATTGTATACGGTCAGTTTGTCCATGTTTATTAATGAAAATACTAATACTTATACTTGATAAAAAAAATTGAAAAATGTGATTTTTGATAAGAGAAGTCACAAGTACACAAAACTTTTCATGATAAGGTAGCAATCTTCTTATTTATTTGACAAAATGTAAAGTAAAATTTTTTGTTTGTTGGAAGATTTTTATACAGCTCAATTTGTGGACGTTTATGCATTTAATCGTTCGTGTTTAATCCTAATCCATGCACCTGTTAGTAAGTATTCATGTTCTATGTCTATTATCGATATTTTGGTAGACAATTTTTTTGGATAATCCGTATTTTTTCCCTTTTTCTTTTTGTCTGTGTGTGTGTTTTAGGTGTCTCTGTTTTCATCTGAATAAGCATTCATTTCCGTGACGCTGCTATAATCTTTATGGTTTGTTAACCGCGAGGATTCACATGAAACAAAATTAACAAACAACTTCATTTTTTGTGATGATCTCTCTTACTGTTTTGGCAGAGGGATAAAAAGGAAGAAGCTCTAAGATTGGCACAATTATCAGCAGAGAAGCCACATTTTTCGCATTGTTTAGAGTGGCTCCTTTTTACTGTGTTTGAAGCCGACATTTCTGGGTAATTTTTACCAATTAAATAATTTGTAAGATTATCACTTGCTATCCAAAGTACTCCTGCTGACCTTTTTATCATGGATAATTTTCCAGAATTTAGAGTTCTGATATTCAGGAAGCTTCTGTGGGAACATTGTTGAATCACAAATAATGTCTTGCTCTAGTAGTCCGTCTCCCTCCAACCCATTCATAATGAACACTTATGGAGTACCAAGGATCCAACAGTCTTATTTCAAGATTAATTTTTTTTACATCAATGCCTTTAGTTATTTAAATTACAATTCACATAGTCAAAAAGCTATACAAAAAGTAGTAAGAATCACACTTCTAAAATTTAATGGTTTTAGATGTGTTTTAAGAAAATCATAGTAGCTAAAGAAAACCCAGTTGACCCTGACAATAGTAGTACTAGTTTTGAGAAAAAAACAGTTATATAAAATGAGGTAGAGTTTATTTTTGTTGAATGTTGTTTCTTGGGGCATCTTTTGTTGGAACTTGGAAGTTTCTTCTTGAGGTAGTCACTAATTTTCTATGACTTTGATCTGACAGTCTTCTCTTAGCTCTTTTTTCTCCCTCTGCCAGCCCCCAGAACACACTTATATTTTCCATCATGTAGTAAAATATGCGTCTTCTTTTACAGGAGCAAGAATCAGAGTGTTATTCCCAATCATTCAACAAGTTCCTCACTTCTGGATAAGACATGTGATTTGATTAGAAATTTTCCGGAGTACTTTGACGTGGTCGTTAGTGTTGCAAGAAAGACTGATGGCCGGCATTGGGCAGATTTGTTTGCTGCTGCTGGGAGATCGACCGAGTATGTAAAAGAATTTATTCTTTAACTTGTACGACACTACTGAATGAGTTTTAACAAAACAGCAGCTTTGATGTATATTAAAAGCCTGTTAGATAGACCATAGTTTGTAGAAACTGAATTTTGCTTGTGTCGAACTCCATTATTAGCTAATTTGTCTTTATATTTAGGTTATTTGAGGAATGTTTCCAAAGGAGATGGTATCGAACTGCCGCTTGCTATATACTAGTAAGAGTTACAGCCTTAGAGGCTTTCAGTTTCAAATTTCTGTCTGTAATCTCCATCTTGTCTTCAGCTACAAATTGTATATCTCTTCTAAATTTCCCCTTTTTTAGGAGGGGTCTGGGGATACTTTAATTTGTGTTGAGAATTATCTCTGAAGAAATCTTACCTTTGGATGTCTTTTGCTTAACATACTTCTTGCTGCAGGTAATTGCTAAGCTTGAAGGTCCAGCTGTAAGTCAGTATTGTGCATTGCGTTTGTTGCAGGTAATCACGTGCAGATGTAATGAATTTTGGCCTTTTATCCATGTAATGCATTAAAGTATTTCCCTGGATAAGTATATATGTTTTTGTTATCCTGCTGAAGAAATTAAATAGGCAGAAAATGTTGCAGATATAGTTACATATGTACAAGGAAAAAGTTTAATGAACAATCCAAGATTAAGTAATTTTTGTCGCTGAATGGTTTCGTTTAGATGTGTCAAAACACACTGTTAAGGATGTCGATAGTGGATGTTCTTTTCAACAATTTCCATGACTTTTGTCGTCTGTAAAACATCAAATTGACTGGGTAAAGGATAAATGATATTTGGTCCCAGGCATTTCAAATTTTATGAAGATCTCAATGAGCTTTAGTTCAATTTATTTCCAAATGGAAAATCAAATGAACACATGCTTGGTAAAGTCAAATTTTCAGTAACATCAACAAGTTTGGACTTATTCCTTGACCTCACATGGTGTTCTCCACTTGCCCAGGCAACATTGGATGAGTCTTTATACGAACTGGCAGGGGAACTGGTATGAACTTTGATGTCAATCATGTTTTTAACAAGATTGTCTTCTTTGTGTGAACTGTTCACATTTTTTTGCTTGGTTTTCAGGTGAGGTTTCTTCTCAGATCTGGACGGGAATATGAACCCACAACCACTGATTCTGAGAAGCTATCTCCTAGATTCTTTGGATATTTTCTGTTTCCTTCTAGTCACCGGAGGCAAACTTTGGAGTCCAAAGGGTAGATGTTCTTTGTTTTATTTTAGAAAAAATTGGCACCTAAGATTCTGGTGCTGATGATGGAAGAAGACTTGCACTTACTTCATTCCTTTTTCTTATAATTTTTTTTGGAGCAGTTCATTTAAGGAGCAGAGTGCACATGTTGCTTCTGTTAAGAATATTTTAGAAAGTCATGCAAGCTATTTGATGTCTGGAAAAGAACTGTCAAAGCTCGTTGCATTTGTGAAGGGCACGCAGTTTGATCTTGTGGTATGATTGACAAACATTTCAGATTGTATCTTATTATGTTATTAAAAACAGATCATGTGATATAAATGTATTGCAGGAATATTTGCAGCGAGAAAGATATGGAAGTGCTCGTTTGGACAATTTTGCTTCAGGCTTTGAACTTATTGGGCAGAAGGTACTAACAATTATTGCTTGGCAACGCTATTTTGAATGCCACAAATGTATCATCATATTAGATGTTTCATATCAGATGGATGATAGGGTGAATTATGTCCATAAACTATTTTAAGCTCTTGCATCACAAGGGTTCTTCTCTTGGGGATGTGTTGGGGCATTTTGTCTCCAGAGAATATGAGAAGTTTCTACTTCATGATCAAGTTATGAGTTTATTGATCTTTGTGTTAAGAAAAGTACTCTTAAATTAATTTCAATCTCTTGGTTTCATGCTTTGTTCCTTATTTATGTCCATAGATGTTCCAGTTCATAACTTTTGACTTATGCTAATGAGTTCCCAAATGGTGCCCGAATTTCTTTTTTAAGATGTAATTCTGGTAATATGTTTGCTGATATGCATTCTTAAAGTATGTTCAGCTATAACTGTTGTTGAACTTAATACTCATACTGATAATCTTGTTTCGTTTGAATCATCAGCTTCAGATGGAAACATTGCAAAGTCGTTTAGATGCAGAGTTCCTTTTGTCTCATATGTGCTCTGTGAAGTTCAAAGAGTGGATTGTAGTATTGGCCACACTTTTGAGGCGGTCTGAGGTTTGGCTAACTTCCTTTAACTGGATATAGGATATTATAGATATGTTGCCTTAACTACATGAAAAATGAGTTTGCCATCAGTTTTACTTTGTTCCCGTTTGGGAGAACCTCAAATTCTGCTTATTTTGAGAATTGCTTTTGTTAGTTGCAACTCACATGAGGTTCCTTTTGTTATTTTTGCTCAGGTCTTGTTTGATTTATTTCAGCATGATTTACGCTTGTGGAAAGCATATAGCATTACTTTAAAGGTAAATTTGATACATTATTTCTTGGATACGTTGACTTTATTTGTGCATCTCACTGTGGTTTTCATGTGCATCTTCAGACCCATCCATCATTTGTTGAATACCATGACTTGCTTGAAAGTTTGGATGAAAAACTTTCATCCACTTCAAATTCAGAAGAGACGTGAGCTCTCTGGATGTAAAGAGCGCCCTTGGTCAGCTTTGCTATTAATGGTTAAAAGAGCTTCCAGTGAGATTTTCTACTTCAAGCTTTAACCGCACCAACTTGAAATCAGCATCAATGTGTACTGCTCTATTGGGAAGGGGGTTGAGCGGCTCTGCAAAAGGCACGAGATGAGATTTTCGGTTCCTGTTCTACTTTTACCCATCTGTGTCCTGCAGAATTTATTTTGTAGATAGGCATATCATTGCTATTAGTTCTTCTTTGGTTTCCATGGTCCTGTTTCTTTTTCATGATTTATAGTTTGTATCAAATTTTAGCTTTTTCATCAAGGGTGTGGGTGATCGTAATGAAAAGGGACACCTCTTGTATGAAAGATCTGATCTTCCGATAAATAGAGAATAGAGAAGATTTTGTGCATTACTGCATCACTTTTTCCATGTTCCTTTACTTCTTTTTTATTTATTTACAGTTTATACCAGATTTCATCTTTTTCATTGAGGGTGTGGGCGATTGTAATGAAAAGGGGGGACTCTTGGATGAAAGATTTTGATCTTCTGAAAGTGAGTATCCAGAATATTTTGTGCATTTCATCATGTGGACAAATAAAGCTGAATATTTATGCTTCAGAATTCTTCACCCCATATTACTTCTTCTGATTGTTAGATCTATGGTTCTGGGAGACTGCGTAGGATACTTTAAGAAGATATGTCAAGCTTTGCCTGTTCAAAATTGTATGTAGGTATTATGGGTTGCGATTTGCAATGAAAGAAAGATAGAAGCATAGCACAAAATCATATTGTAGGAGTGGGAATTGGAATTTGTTGATGGAAAGATAAAACTAGGAAACTGGGAAGTTTCAGACCTTGTCTTGGTTAAAGTTATAGAAACTGTTGTTTGGTTATACATCAATAATATGTTGGGAATGAGATGGTCATAGTTTAGTCTAATTTCTCAGACAAATACAGGTTCCATTCGAATCCCATGAACCTTATTTCCTCTTCCAAAGGCTACTTACAATACCTTACATATTATATTCGACAAAAAGTAATGTTATCTTGGGCAACCATACCCACAATACCTATTTTAAACACACATATTGATCCAACCAGAAGACTGGAACATATTACAGGGCATAATATCTACATAGATACTGCTGCATTCTTATAGAGTCCTTTTAAGGTAGCTCTGGAAATCACCAGGTGAAGCTGATGGACTCGAAGTGCAGATTTTCAACCAACCCAGATGAGCAAATGGCTGCTACGTCATGCCTCAAGGTCTTCGGTCCAGAGGCAAGTACTCCAACACTTGATCCTTTAACTTCTAGCAATATTCCTGCAAAAGAATTTCATTTAGTTACCAAACATAGAGAGTCGGGAAACAAAGTACTACTTAGTAGTTTTGATTATGCAAATATATTGTAGTAATTACTCTTGAGATCAGGTCGGTGGCCATAATGTGTCTTGATAGATTTGTCGAGCGATTGTTGAGGAAGACTTTCTAGCTCTTGATCAGCATAAGCTATTAACAAGTTTAAAGATTTTGCTGAATCTGCCATGTCCTGAATCTGCTTAGTTTCCCTAGCACTTTTCTTCTTGTTCCATAGGAAGGCTGCACTTGCTGCAATTACTATAGCAGCTGCTATAAACAACATGTTGAACAAAGCCCTTGTGTGGTATGGGAATACCTTGTTAGTACCATGGTCCATAGGGTAAACATAGTATTGGTAAAGAAGTCCCACAAATAGAAGGTACAGAGCAAACGAAGACGATATTATAGCAGCAAGCCAGAGCCAGTTGTTCTGGCCTAAAATGGGGGTTATTGGTGCGTCAGAGTGGTCAGGTTTGAACAAAATGGTCCGTAGGGGTTCAGATTTTTCATGTGCTGGTTCAATCTCTCTGGTTATATAAGCCTCAATTTGTAGGTCAAGATTAGAAGAACATCCTGAAGGAGTGCCTGCTATAGGAAGAAGTAGGTCTAACATAGAGAGTTGTGAAGTGTTCCTGAACACACTAACTAATAAGATCTTGGGAGTTTTGCATTTCAGTGTTGAGCTCATATAAATCAGCTCTCTGATGATTGAAATGAATGGAGTTATTCCACTTCCTCCACTGATCAACACCAATGTGTCATGCCTGTCATCAAAATAGACCACACCATCACAAAATATACATAGGGGAACTACATTGACTTGGAAGAGTTTAAGCTCGATGTACAGACGGAGTAAAAAATCTTCATATGTTAGTCGTACTGCTAGTACGACTAACATGTTTACAAAAGTTAGAAAACACTGATAGTGTAAAACATCTCTAACCTTAGGAAATGAGTGGAAGCAGGTCCATAGGGTCCTTCAACAGAAACATCAAGACGATCGACAGAGGAAGGCAAAGACATGACACTGTAAAGCTTCTTAGTCCAACTTCCTTCACATTTAATGACAACACTAATTGTTTCTGATTCCAAGTTACTGTTTGAGGTTACAGTGAATGGATGCCACTGCAATTTGGATATGCTTGGCACATTTAGGAACGTAATACTTGTCGGAGAGTACTCCAAACCTACAAATTAGAACAAGTAATCGTCCAGTTCAAAGTGAGATAGGTAACCTGGAAAATGAAAGACAGAATTGTAGCTAGGCTGAACTAACCTGATATTTTGGAGAAGTTGAGTTCAACAGTTTCACAAGTCAAAACTCGGGCTGAAATCAAACGAACTTTTTGCTTGGATTGCAAGAATCTCAAGTATCGATCGATCAAGAAGAGGAAGAAACCAGGAAGCATAATGCAGGCATAGAACATTCCAGTGTGGAGTAGGTAGAAAACCATGAATAGAATGTAGAGATAATGTGTGTAGAAGAAGAGTTCAAACATTCTTCTTCTAATTGCTGGAAATGTTGTAGCCCACAATATTAATCCAACTAGTAAACCAAGTTCTCCAGGTACATTTGATATGTAATGTGGATCCCATGTCAACATCTGCATCAAACCAAGATTAGCTAGTAAAAAAGATATGATCAAGGCAATCAATTAAAATAGAAGAATTAACCTAAGTATTCATCAACTGATCAAATGTGCATAACTCATGTGTAATATGTGTATAATCTATGTATATCGGCTAGAAAAAAAGTCAACAATGACTCCGGCCGGCTATTTATGTAAAGATAATCGTTGCTTAGACTAAAGATAGCCACAGATGTATATATGCATAATCCATGTATTATATGTGTATAAACATATATAATCAAAGTATAGTCTATGTATATCGTTAAAGAAAATAAACTACTATAGCTATATCTGGCGAAAGCATCCGAAAATTACACTACATTTTTATAAATAGTCAAATATTATCTGTATTTTGTGTATATTTATTAAATTTTAAATATCCTTAATGAAATTCTTGATTTCCCCATTATCACATAGTATTATTTTGATTTATACTCATACATGCATGAATAATTAATTATAGTTATAATATGATTAGGTCATTTAGGTGTCATGGTGAGGTGGGTATCTTCTAGAATTTTGAAATATAGATACCAAAATGGATGTCACACTTGAACCTTTAAATCATTTCATTTTTTTATTAAATAGGGGAATATTCTATAAAGTTAGAAAACACCAAACAGAAAGCAGAAAGTTCAAACAAATATTTGATTTATGTGGTCCAAAATTCCACTCACTTGCTGTGTTGTGTCACACTCATACCTAATGGCTATTGAACTTTTTTTTGATGAATAAGTTTCCAATTCTAGTGGAACTCTAATTTAGTGTTAAGTCAAAGAGGTTCCCCACATTTAACTGTCTCACCAAACTTTTATTCCTTTTATATTTATCTTAACTGTGTAGTTAATCAACCATCAACCATGTGTTGTCTTCCCTTGAAAGTTATGAAATCTATTTTTATTTTTTTTACAATTCCTTAGATTTTAATTTTTCATATGATATGTTTAAGATTACAAGATTAAATTTATTTTTGGTATATCTGAAGAACACCATATTCAAAAGTCGTCTTCTTAAGTTCAGAGTTAAGTTAAAATATGATAAATAAATTGAACGGAAGAATTACTAATAAATTGAAATATTTGCTACCTATTTGCATTACGTTATCTTACTATGTATAAATAAAGTAAAATAATACTTGTCAATTTTGTGATTTTCTTTTTCCAATTTGGCAACGGGAAGGGAGGGATTTTGAGAAGTGAATTTAGACTTCCATCGATATTATTAGACTGAACGTAATTTGGCAGTTTATGGTATGAGTTTGTTTATTGAGGAAAAAAAAAAAGCTTATATGGAAATTAAAAAGGAAATTTAATCATTTCTTTTTGTCTTGTTTTGAAAAAGAGCTTAGGTAGAAATTGATTTGCTTTTTGATATGAAAAGAGTAAAAGGGTTTGTTGATAGAAAAAGGATTAAAAAAATGTAATGATGAAATCTTCTGTATTATTAGTTTATCACATTATTATATTTTTGGTTGCTCCTCTCATAATGTGACAACTTACACACACATATATAGTGACTTTAAAAAGAGTGATGATACATAACTATCTAGTTTTGCCTTTAAGAATTTGAACCTCAGGTGCGTTCGATGTGAAGAAAAATATTTTTTATGGATATTATTTTAAGAAGAATATGTGAGTTTTTCTATTTATTTATATTTTTTATGTTTGATATATAAAAAAAAAAAATTATTTTAAAAATATTTATATAAAAATTAACTGGAGATGAGAATATAGTAGTAGTTTACCAGATAAATTGATAAGTCAAACAATTTCAATCCACCAAGTGAAATTAGTGATTTCTTGATTACGATCAATCAAGACTAAAGGGTATGGATTGTTGGTAACGAGGGCTATTAGGATGGGGTAAAGATGAGGTGCACATATTGGAGAATGGGGAGAACACAATTAACATGAAATACAATTCATGAAACTTATTTTTTCTACTTATACAACAAAATTTATTTTTCTCATTTATAAGAAATTTATTTTCCAGAATGATATTTCTGAAAAAAATTTACCAATATTTTTCACTATACCAAACACACCCTTCTTTTTAAATTGAGTGTCAAGATAAGAATAAGGCAGGCACAATTATTTCCAAACATATGCATAGTATGAATCTAAATTTTCCTTTACGACTTTAGACTATGAATGCATATATCTTCTTTTTAAAGATAATTTTTTAAAAGTAAAACTATGACAATAATTAGAAGTAAAATTCAATAAAGGATACCAACTACCCTACAAATGTTAAGAGTTAGTTGTTCGATCTACATCCATCAAGAATAATAAAACTAACAAATATTATATTGCTATTAGTTTTTCACATATTTTACACCACTTCCAATTTGTTTTAAAGTTATACCTCATATTGTTTTTCTTTCACTATTAGTGAAATTTAACATGTAATAACATATTAATTATTATTTTATCAAATTAACGTATCACAGAGATTTATCTGTAATATAATTACCGTACAATTTATAATTAGTAACCAAATTATATTAATTTTTTCTTCACTATCAATGCAATTAAAACTTAATCTCCTTACATATGATGTATTTTTGTGTTGGTTGAAAATAATCAATTCTCCACTAGTTGTTTGTTATGGTTGTTATTATTGCTCAC